TGCCGTCAACCAGACAGTGTCGGTTGGCGACCCCCAGGGGGAGAGCCTTCTCTGTTGGAGCCCCCACCCTCTGGAACGAACTACCCCCAGAGATCCGGGTGATTCCGGATCTCCCCTCCTTCCGCCGCGCCCTCAAGACATGGCTATTTCAGCTGGCAGGACTGGCCTAAGGGGTATTTTAAATTTGGTTTTTAAATAATTTTTAAAAAAAGGAAGAAAAGGCCCATATTAATATTTCTTTTTAACTACATTTTAAATTTTGTATATTGTATTGATTGTTTTGTTTTTAAATTGGCTGTAAGCCGCCCTGAGTCCACGAGGAGAAGGGCGGGGTATAAATGTAATAAATAAATAAATAAATAAATACTATTGAATGTATGGGAAAAAATCAAGAAAAACCTTTCAAAAAAACATTTCGAAGTTATGTCACTTCAGTATAATTGGCTATTGCCTAATCAAATTTTAGAGTTTTAATGCATTATCATATTTTTGCAGTGAAATGCATCTGATTGACATGTGAATTACTTGCTAGCTGCTACCAATGATCATTTCCTTTACAATTTGCTGATGTGTGCAAGTGGTTTTGCATCATTTCCTGCCTTTTATATATGCCATATGCTGTGGAGAGTTACATCTGGATACTAAGGTGTATGATGATATACAGTGAAACAGAAATACATATTACTACAGAAATATATATAGCTATTTGATTTTTTTCCATTTAGACACAGCATGCACATAGACATACAATAGGAGGAGGAATGTGTGTTGGATATTTATTTATTTATTTATTTATTTTACAAAATTTATATGCCGCCCTTCTCCCCATGGGACTCAGGGCGGCTCACAGCATGTTAAAACAATATACAGAATTACCCCTTCTAAAAACCAATTAAAACCCAAATATTAGTGGCTGTGACTATTTAAAATCATTAAAAATTATCCCTACTTAAAATTCACTTTGAGTTATTGGCCACTTTGAGTTATTTGTAAAAATAATAAAGATGGGAAATAAATAAATAAAATGAAGCTAACTTGTCAGACTCTTAGTCCATATAACTCAGTAGTGTCTACTTCAGTTGGCTGCAGCTCACCCAAGCTGTGTTTTCTCAAGATTTGGGGAATTATTTTGGGGAATTTCTGCAAGCAGTGCCTGTGTACTGTCACTAATCACACTTGGCCACTTCCAATTGTTGTATGTTCATAACTTCTAAGAAAGGAGCTTTATTTAAATAGGAAAATCTTTTTAAACTGATAGAATCTCCAGATCTTTATTTATGCTTGGAGGTTCTGCAGGACTAAGAAAGAAGAGAGTCACTGCATTTCTGGCACTGCTGCTCCAAGAACATCTGTGCCCAATTTGCCAGCTATGGAAGTTAAAATCCAGTTTGTACTGGAAAATGGGAAATGATGCTGGATTAATTGGAACATAAAAACAGAAACCTGCACACAGCTGGAACAGCTGATATTTTGCGGCTCTATGTATTTGTGCGTGCGTATGTGTAAATGAGTAATTTTTTCCTGTTGTATTTGCATTAATCAACATAACCATATCAAGACTGATACTGTATTGATCCACAAGCAGACACTCTCTGGGATAGAGGTAACTGGAAGCCTTATAAATTCATACTGAAAATCAAAATAAGATGTTCAGCTACCAAAGTATTCCAGAGTAGGCCATTTGGAGCCCTTCGAATATTGTTGGACAACAGCTACCCACTTTGTTCATCATTAGCAATGCTGGCTGAGACTACTGAAAGGTGCAATACATCTAAAGGGCCACAGATTGTTGTATACCTTAACCATCCTTACACACAGATAGATTTAATTCTCACTGGACATTACCAGTCTTTCTCTTCTTCTGCAGGCACTCCTGGACTTCAAAGGCAAAACTGTGTATTATGTTAAATATGGCTTAAAATGGCTATGCCCCAACTCTCCATATTTTACAGTGAAGAATAGTTCATGACTTTCTTCCATCCAGAATCCAGAAATTATTATTTTTCACACCCAGTATTCCTGGTGGACTACCAACAATGATACAACAACATACCTTTCTTTCTTCCTGTTCTTCATCATCAAAGGTGAAACAAGGAGCATTCTGAGGAAGCAAAAATGAAAATTCCTTGAATGAATTAAGAAAATAATTTTCTCTAAACATAAGAGAATTTTTTAAAACAAATGACAATCAATTTCTTCCAAATACTTAGCAACTCAGATGCTAGCCAATGAAATGTAAAGCTGAGTGAAGAAGGAAAGAAAGAAAAAGAAACGTTAAGATGGATTATTACTTTCTAAGTAGCTTTATTAATTGGGGCAGTTATTTTCAAACCTACGGTACCTTTAAAAAAATCTTTCTATAACTAGAATAGAATAATAACTTTATTGTCACTTCGAATGTACACTAATCGGCATACATTAAAATGAAATTTTGTTGCATACAGCTCTCAAAGGGTCACCACCTCCAATATACACTACATAAATATATATTTGTTTTTTGAAGTAAACTCTGGGCATTGTAAAATATTTTAAGGCATATTCTAAGGTAAATAGTCAGCTCAAACATGCACTGGCTTAACATTATAATTTAAACATGGACCAGATGATTACCAAACTTTTTCTACTACTGCATATTTCAGATGAAGATAATGAGCAAGACTTCATGCATAGGTTTGCCTCTCATTATCTTTTTTTAAACTGAGGCATTTCTCATTAGCCTGTAATGATATCCCAGGTGGCCCAGTTCTTAAACTGGGATTTTTGTCCAAATTTTCCCAAATGGCAAATATCTTTAGCTTAATAGAATTTTCTTCCCAATTGCCAATTACATTCTGAAGAAGGAAATTTAAACGACTTTGTCAATTGCTTCACTTATTTAAATTGTATTAATATAATTATTATTCCATTTTTGAAGTCCTTTAATAACCTCACTTCATTTGGCAATAAAAAATAGAAATTCAAAGCAGTTTATTTATAAGGAGACTATATTTCTACGCCATTTCTGTTTTACTGAAAACAGAGACATCAGCTCTAATATAATCCAAGAATTTTCATTTATCATAGCATATTTTATCCCAGAATTTTTTTAAAACAAAATGCAATTAAAGGCAGTTCTATTTCTATTCCTCCATAAATGAAAACCTCCAGCTTGCTATCTTGAAAAAACATGCCTAACACTGTTCTCAACAGACTACTATAGCCAGTTGGAAGCTAGAGGGACATCAAACAATCCATTCTCAGCTACTTTTGGGTGGTGACAGCTTGAAAGAGGAACATGGGCTATAACTGCTACTTTTAGAATTATATCAGCTCTTTTTGGAACAAGATATATTTCTCTGTTATTATTAACTAGGAAAGGAATTGCCATATGTTTTGCTTTATCCATTATGCAGTACCTTCTGGAGTTATCTGGCACAAATTCTTAGAAAGCCTCAGCATTAGCCTCTTTCCATATTGAGAGGTACCCATGAATCATTCATGTGTTTTCTGAGAATGGCATCTACCCACCACATACTGGGACTGATGGAGAAACATGTTAACAAAGGTCTCAACTTCTTTGTAGCGCAACAATGGAACTACAATCACATATTCTCTAAACAAAATTGTTAAAAACAACCAGTATCTGAAAAGACAAGAAATATCCGATATTTTATCCCCCAGAGTAAAAAGTATTTATATTGTCATTACAGCAGTTAAAGTTTTCACCAAGATAAAACTTCCTGGTTGAAAATTTTCGACAGTTCTGAGTAGCAGAACTCATTCTCTCACAGCATTTCCAAGGTTCGATGGTTAACAATGTTTTTTAAAAAATGTTTGCTTGAAGTTACAGAGAGTTCCTCCCAATTGATGGATAATGGCCAAATATTGTATAAAGGTAGTTCTTGACATGCAACCATAATAGTTATGTCATGACAGCCATATGACCAACCTTATTACTTTTTTGTGGCAGTTGTTAACCAAATCATCTAGGTTGTTAAATGAATCTGAGGGAATGCCACGGTTGTTAAGCCGCAATTTTTAAGCAAACCAATGGTTCGCTATGGGTGCCATTTTGACAAAAAGCCAAAGTGCAAATCGTTTGGCAAAATATTGTAAAATGCAGTCACATGACTGCTGGATGCTACAAATGGTTATAAATACAACTTTGTTGCTGAGTGCTGAAGTTCAGTCATGGGATTGCTAAGGGGACCTGATTGTTGGATCTTTGAATCGGATCATAAATCCCCTTAATTGAGTTGGATGTAAGTTGAGGACTACCTGTATAGCAGCTTCACAGATGTGTATGAAGAGAATGCAACCTACCAACTGATATTCATATTCCTTCTCTTTCTCCTCTTTGAAAATAACATTTTGGGTTACATATATTACATGCAGCTATTCTGAAAATCTGTTGCAGAGAAAGTCACAAAGATGTATAGAGCAAAAGTATCCTTGATAAAATCAAATATAAATCAATCCACAACTGCATATTCATTACAGTTTGATTTCAAGTTCTTAGAAATGTTTAATACTGAAGGGCACGTTTCAGGTTGTGTAACATTTTGAAGCAAATCTAATCACCACAACCATTTATTTTGTGATATCAGTTGTTATACGAAAAGTTCCAAGGTTACGGCAGATTTTATCTAAACCAATAATAATCAACCTAATTCTTTACATACACAACTTCCTAGGACTGTATATTTGTGAATTCCATACACCTGCCTGCCACTTAGGGTTTTTTCCCCCTTTTTTCATTTGAAATGTTCTCCTCACTATTTCTCTGACATGATTCATTCTCGCAGAACAGCATAATTTTGCTATAGCACCCCAGCTGCAGTTCATTTTGAGAAAGGAAGGGAGAGAGTAACCCCAAATACCTAGGTTAAAAGATTAATAACAAGAACATATTACCCAATGATACAGACAGATGAAACTGAAGGGAGAATCACAAGAACAGCCTTAAAACGTGCAATGTGAATTCTTCAAGACTCCATCGGGGTGCCTCAATTCCCAATGAAAACTCACCTCCTGGTTGTAGATCTGTAGCACCTTGAGGACAGTATCTTGCTTCCCATTTTCTACAGTCTCTAGCACAGCTTGGAGTGTCATGTCTGCCCAGAGGAACGGGGGCCGACCGCAGTGAAATGTAGTAGAAGGCTTTGTGGCGTGGCTGGATATTTACTGATGCAAAGAGTCCTTGTTAAACAGCTGATGAGAAGAGGGAGGAACATTAGCGAGCCTGGCCACTCCAGGATGCCAAAGTACGAAGCAGATGGAAGCTCCCAGTAAAACCAGCCAGTAGCTTGCTATCTTGCTTACACACTAATCCTCTTCCTCTTTTGGCTTTTCAGCATTTTATAAATGTCCTTTGAGCAAAGCATTACCTAGCTAGCCTTCCCTTCTGCCACTCCGAGGATTACCTTAAAACAGATAACTGCATGCTTTAGCTCCTCAAATCACCTCCTCCACCCATTGTCCTCATTTCTCTCTATGAATATAAAAGAAAAGAAAAGAAATTCCCCCTACAATAATAAAATGATGTATTCCCAGCAAAAACACCCATATCTCCTTGCTGGGTTCAGATGGCAATACATTTTCTGGTGAAAAAACATGGGAGGACTGAAAATGTACTAAAGCTGTGCTCACCAATCAGAGTATCTCTCAAACTGACTCATCCCTCAGATTCAAATCTCTGATCCTGCTTAGAAAACATGAGGTGGGGGGGGTAACCTTTCCACCCTAAGGCCTTAACTCTTTGGTTGCCAAATTCTCCGCATCTCTAGGTTCAACATTTGGTCTGTGTCACCATAAAGACAGTAGCTGTTTAAGAATGCAGATATATGTTTGTATCCCTCCAGTAGTCATGCTAATCACAGTCCATGTCACAGTATGTGATGGTAACAACTGTGACAGGGGAAGGGGACCGGCACACTATCAAGGCAGATGCTAGAAGAGCTTGCCACAATCGTAATGCTTAACCTTATGATTTAAATGAGCCCCCCCAACTCTTCAGTTTACGGATCCCTTCACAAAGTTTCAGATTGTTCATCAACCTTCAAAAATTTATTATATGAAAATAATTTAATGAACACTGCTTTAACTAATAGTACTATGAATAACAACAACAATGACAGATAGACATCTGGCCCACAACACACCTGACATCACTATTGTGGAAAAGAAAAAGTCTGGTTCATTGATATTGCAATACCAGGTGATGCACAAATTGAAGAGAAACAGGGGGGAAAATGAAATATTGTGATTTACAAATTGAAGTTCAGCAATTGTGGAGGAAGAAATCAATGGTTGCACCAATAGTAATAGGAGCCTTTGGAGCAATACCCAAAGTGCTACCTAGACATATGGAGATTTTGAACTTATTAGACCTGAATATTCCGAATTTGCAAAAAACCATTTGGAACTGTCTATATACTTAGATGTTACCTTAACAGCTCTTAGGTCCTTAGTTAGGACCTGAATTGTTAAGTTTTTAACAAACTGTGAATCAATTGAAGATGAAATAATAACAACAGCATCTTGGACAATCCCAATGACTCTTGGAAATCAATAGTGGCCACTTTGGAGTATCTTCTTTTAAAACATTTAGATCATTCCCTATGTAGAACCTATTCTGACTTTTTATAGTGGGGGATGTGAGGGACTGAACATGGTGCACATTTCATTTACTTATGTACCTAACTAACCAAACTTCACATGGCTTACAGAACTTATATAGCAAAAACAGAATGCAACATCAGAAGAAAATTAACTCAAATAGCAATTAGTGGTCAAAAATTAAAATTATGCATTTCTGACAAATGGCACTGCTGTGTAACATTAATCCCCAGAGACCCTCTGGAAGAGCCATATTCTAATCAGCTAATGAGAGTCGCTAGGGGAATGGGACATCCTTGTTCAGGAGGCAACTATTCCAAAGCAGAGGTCTCCAACCTTTTGGGCATCAGGGACCGGTTACGTGAAGAGAGGTTTTTCCGCAGACTGGAGGGGACACGGTTTTGTGTACTGTCTGTATCCTGTGGATGGGGTTTTGCTTGTTTGTGCAGACCGGTTGCTGGTATGCCGCGGCCCGGTACCGGTCCACGGCCCGGGGGGTTAGGGACCCCTGTTCCAAAGGACAGAAATTACGGAGGATCTGGTGATCAGGCCCCTGCATACTGTACCTCCTAGTGGGGGGACTTTTCGCAGGTGCTCCCTAATTGTCTGTGTAGGGAGGCAGAAAATATTAGATAATTTGTTGGGTACAAACCAGAACTGCAAATAACAGTTCCCAGAATATCACGAATGTTACTATTTCAGTCACTTCTCACTTTCTAAAGTGTTTGTCCTTCACAGTTTACATATTTGCTACGGAAAACACCAGGCAACTTAGTTGCCAAAGTAATGATGAAGTGGTTTTAAAATAAGCAAACTGTTTGTTGTTCTTTATTTAAAAAATTCAAGAACAGCATAAAACAACATTTAAATAAAGAGGAATAATGTGTCAAAATGTGTATATCACTGAGCAACTGCCAGGATCAGCAATTCTGGCAAAAGGTTCCCAAAGCTTGGAACAATCTGTAGATTGTAGATTGTATTCCTCCGCAATTGTTTAAAAGAAGCAACAACATTTGACTACTCCTCATACTATAAACATGCAGCAGAGAACTTGAACATTTTAAAAAACAAATTAGATTATTGTAATCAACTTTCTTCTGAGCAGAGAACTGATACAGAATACCTCCCCACCCATCACAAATAATTTCTACATACAGCCAATAACTTGTAACCAGAATTGGCTGTTGTAGCCCTGAAATCCAATGAGGAAGAAACTTCATGGCATTTACATCTAATTTAACATATTTTTAAATGATACAGAAACTTCTGATCACACAATTTCACTACAATTTTTCAAATCTACAATTTTGATTTGTTAATAGGTAAGTGATAAAAAATTTCAGTCCCAGGCGTTAAAATCAGCCGAGATAGGAAAAGCCATCCTTGTATATCATCTTAAATGTTTATGTTTCACCTGCTCCTATATTGTTTTCTTGATTCATCCAAATAATTTCTGGCCTATTTATTATCAGAAATTAGTTTGTCTTCTAAATTCTCTGAAATCAATTTAGTAACTTTTAGAAATTATGATTAGGATTTGAAAAGTCTCCACCACAATTACTAAACCAGATTAAAGCATAAAAATAAGGAATTCTGTGGAGCAGTGGTTCTCAACCTTTTCTTCACCACAGACCAAAAGGCCAAAAACTCCCATGACGCAATTCATTCCATTTACTGGAAATGAGGAAACAGAGGCCCATAGGGGGGTTTCTTTGTTGAAACTGGAAGGGCAGCTGTGTTGGGGGGGACAAAACATCAGGAGAGCAGTAGTACTTTTTCTGATTAAGAAATTTTATTAAAAGACACAAGCTTCATCTCATGAAGTGAGGTGATTCCTTTTTATAAATCTACTAGTCAGAAAAGGTGCTGCCCGGCTCCTGATTTTTTTTGGCCAGGGTTTTTGTTGCTATTGTTATTGCTGTATTTGTTTGAATAAGTCATTATATACCAATATATAAATTGTACTCTGTATATTTAGTCTTATTATTCATCAAAAACCAAAGGCATTCTATTTCTCTCTACATGTTTGGCCCAGGTTTCTTTATGCACATCAATGAACAGGTCACAGATATGTTTACCTCTAGTACAAAATTCCCTTGTGCTCAATTCATATCCTGAAAGTCGCAGGATTCATTATGGTTTTCAGGATAAGAGTTGTAATAGATTGTGAACCAAGGTCCTTCACCTTACAGTATTTGGAACTGAGACTGAGACATTCTGACAAAGATATTTGGGGCATATCTTGCCACTAAATCTGTAACAGTCACCTGTAACTCTACCACTTCACATTTTCTTCGGAAAAATAAACATTTTGAAAAGGCTGTTTCAGGTTTTTAAAATTTCAATTTGCAAACAGAATATAGTGGAATACTGCAAAACAGATAAGATCTTTACACAAAGATGAATTGGCAAATTGGAAAACTCTAAGGTTATAATCAGGTCTGACATCTGTTGAGCGGTATCACTGCTACTTGCATGGTGAGACTCCTTCAAAATTCAACATCTAGAATCCCTTAAAAACATTCACACACTCCTCCACCAGCCATTTATCCACTCTTCTTAGCATAATAGATAATTTACTTAAAATATATTATGCAAATAGCCTTTTTATATGCTATGTATTTTAACTAGCAAGAATAGAAGACAAACACTTTTTCACTATATATTCCATTCTAGCCAGCACCATTGTCCTGGATTAAAAATTGTAAATATAAAAAAAAGGCTAACTAGAAGCGAAAAGCAAAAATTACCTTCTTTATAGCATTGCTGTCTTTATAGTCACAGTTATTAATTAAGATTTTTGTTTCATTTTTTGAATGAAGCAACTATCCCACCTTCCCTCAATCCTCATAATGCAATTTTCAACTGAGAAGACACTGGTGTTGTTTTCTTTCTTCCGGATAATCTCACTAGCAGAAAAACAGGGAGAGCAGTGGGGAATTGTAATGCAGGGTTACTGATCCAGAAATTATAGCAAAGAAACAATTGACCTCTAGGGAGCTCCACCCCTTTAACAAGCTTTCCTACAGCTGCAGCTACTGTACAGCTATCCAAGGCTGATTGGAAAGAATTCATACAAAACTATACAAAAATAAAATCTAAATCATGGCACTGAACAGACTGTCAGCTGCATCCAACTGGATCTTGATTCAGAGACAACAAATCAGCATTAAGCACATGAGAAGGCACCCAAAAGAATAAGAGTTTAGACGAAGACTTGAATTTTTAGCTTTAGAGGCAACCGACTATAATTCTTCAGAGGGTATAGGAGCACTGTGTCAAAATCATCTGTGACAGAATATACAGGTAGTCCTCAACTCACGACCACAATTGAGACCAAAATTTTTGTTGCTACGTGAAACATTTGTTAAGTGAATTTTGCCCCATTTTACGACCTTTCTTGCCACAATTGTTAAGTGAATCACTGCAGTTGTTAAATTATTAACAAGTGAATCTGGCTTCCCCATTGACTTTGCTTGTCAGAAGGTCGCAAACGGTGATCACATGACCACAGGACACTGCAAACGTCATAAATGTGAGTCAGTTTCCAAGTGTCTTCATTTTGATCACGTGACCATGGGGATGTTGCAATGGCCGTAAGTGTGAAAAAGTGTCATAAGTCACTTTTTTTAGTGCCGTTGTAACTTCGAACAGTCACTAAATGAACTGTTGTAAATCGAAGACTAGCAGAATTAGTCAAGAGTCACTTCTACCTTATGATTATGTAGTGTAGACGTGGGTATTTTATGCCTCCTCGGCCACATCTGGCCCGTTGGCTGTCCCTGTCCTGCCCACGTGAAGTCAATCGGAAATTAGAAATCAAATGCAAATAAGTATAGGCCATGCATGCAACACCACTGCATCGCTTTTATTTTGAAGGCGACTATTGTTTTTTTCAATTTATGTGCATGTGTGGGTGCCTACACACCTTCACAGCACTCTTGGTTCAGCCCTAGATAACAGTCCCAGTTTTTCATGTGGCCCCTTGGGAAAATTAATTGCCCACCCCTGATGTAGCACAAGGCTTTTTTAAACTGATCCCTTTTTGATAAGTAGGGAGAGGAGAAAGAATCAATTATATTATTATTTCACTTCCACTACCCTTCATTCACATTCCGTAATGTTGGCCATGTTACACTAGGTTCAAATGTATTTATCCTACTACATAAGGAGTCCATTTACATATAGGAATGGAGCATCACAAACAAGAACTTCCCCGTCACCTTCTTTATAAACCATATCTAGTTATTGGTAAAGAAATGCCCCAAAACCAAATTACATCTCTGGAAAATGTGAGATCTTTTTGAACACTGAATTATTTCAGCTTTTATTGCAACATTACATCTCCATGACAATTCATCTGAGTTTGGCGAGACTTGTCTCTATAAATTTTTATCCTTTTCAGGAAACTGACTCCTATCACTTTCTTTTGATCCTAGCAGAATTATTTTCCTTCTATCTGATCCTTTCTGTGATTTTGTTAAAATCTGAAAATAAGTTAATCAAGACAGATTCAAAGTAACAGTTTATAAATCACTTCAGGATTTAATCTGAAATTATTGATTTACATCTATGACAGAGGAGCAAAAGCTACACCTTATTAGCATTCCTTTTGTGACCTTCACATTCATTTTTGCATTTTAGGGAATGGGATGGAAGATGGGTTTTTAAAAGATAATAATATTCTGCACCTTAGAAATACTTGCATCCATTTCACCCCTTAAAACTTCTTAATGTCCCTTTCAAAACATGTTTACTCTTACTTAATGTTTGGAATATGGGCTTCTTGAATACATTCATGTCTGAATAAGTGTTTGGGAGGTTTTTTTTAAATAGATGCTGCTGCTTTTTGCATAGTATGCAAATCAACATAATAAAATTGGCTCTAACATCAGTGTTTTCCCTTTCTGCTGAGCAACACACCTGCTACTGCTGTACTACCATATTTGCATGTGACACCTGGGCATTCTTGCTTGCTAGGACAAAAATATATATTTATTGGCAGCACTTTTGCAAGTGGTTTTGTAAAAGAGCACCATTCAACCATCTAACTGTCAAGCAGTATTGCAACTAGAACAAGATATTGGAAACAGATGTTAGGACTTCTGTAGACCAACTTATTCCAAAGGAGATTTGCTTGACAAGTGAGAGAAGCAAATTGGATTTCTGTCACAATAATGCCTGAGGATAGGTAAAAATAAAGGTTTCCCCTGTCCAACCATTTCTGACTCTAGTGGGCGGTACTCATCTCTGTTTCTTAGCCCAGGGAGACAGTGTTGTCTGAAGACCCTTTCAGTGATCATGTGGACAGCATGACTGTAAGTGAAGGCACACAGAATGCTGTTTATTTTCCACTGAAATGGTATCTATTTATCTACTCACACATGCATGCTTTCAAACCACTAGGTGGACAGGAGCTGGGGCAAGTAATGGGAGCTCATCCCATTGTGAGGTGCTCGGGTCTCAAACCAGCTGACAAGCTCAGCATCTTTAACCACTGAGCCATTGCACTGCTGCCTTAACATAAAATATGAAGCTTACTCATCTTTTTTTTTAAATGCAGGTTTAGTAAACTAGGTTGTGACAGTTTTTTGATCAACATCAACATTTTTTGTGTCATCAAAGCCAATGTCAGCTCTAAACAACCACACAGATACTTTCTCCAGGATGACCATGACTATTTTCACCAATAATAAAAGCACAAGAACATGTAACAGCAGAGGAAATGATTTTGATTTGATTTTGATTTTATTAGATTTATACCCTGCCCTTCTCCTGGCGGACCCAGGGCGGCTTACAGCAAGCTAAAAACAGATAAAGACCCTACAAACACCATTTTAAAATATAATTAAAAGAAATATTAATTTTGCCGTTTCATTTAAAATTTTGTTAACACCCAATATAAAATCAAATTAAAATCCAATCTAAAATACCCCTCAGGCCAGCCCCGCTAGCTGGAATAGCC